GATATTGGTCTGTAGTTCTCTTTCTTAGTTGTGTCTTTGTGTGGCTTGGGTATCAATGTTATTGTAGCCTCATAAAAAGACTTTGGCAATGTCCCTTCTGCTTCTATTTTGTGGAACAATTTGAGGAGTATTGGTATTAGCACTTCTTTAAATTTCTGGTAGAACTCTGCAGTGAATCCATCTGGCCCTGGGCTTTTTTTTGGTTGGGAGATTTTGATGACTGCTTCTATTTTCTTAGAGGTTATAGATCTGTTTAAGTTGCTTATCTGTTCTTGATTATATTTTGGTAAGTGATAACTGTCCAGAAAATTGTCCATTTCCTTTAAATTTTCCAATTTTGTGGAGTACAGGTTTTCAAAGTATGACCTGAAGTTTCTCTGGTTTTCTTCAGTGTCCTTTGTTATGTCCCCCTTTTCATTTCTGATTTTGTTAATTTGCATAATCTCTCTCTGCCTTTTGGTTAATTTGGATAACGGTTTGTCTACCTTGTTGATTTTCTCAAAGAACCAACCCTTTGTTATATTTATTCTTGGAATTGTTTTCTTTGTTTTGACTTTATTGATTTTTGCTCTCAGTTTGATTATTTCGGGCATCTGCTCCTCCATGGTAATTTGCTTCCATTTTTTTCTAGAGCTTTCAGCTGTGATGTCAGATCTCTGGTGTGGGTATTCTCTAGTTTCTTCATGTGAGCACTTAGAGCTATGAACTTTCCTCTTAGTACTGTTTTCCAAGTGTCCCATAAGTTTGGGTATATTGTCAACATTTTCATTGAATTCTAGGAAGTCTTTAATTTCTTTCTTTATTTCTTCCTTGACCCAGGAATGTTGCAAATGCGTGTCATTCCATTTCCATGAGTTGGTAGGTATTTTGCACTTTGATTTGTTTTTGATTTCTATCTTTAAAGCATGGTGGTCTGATAAGATGCAGGGGATTATTCCAATTCTTTTGTACCTGTTGAGGTTTGCTATGTTGCCAAGAATGTGGTTGATTTTTGAGACTTTTGATTGATTTTAGCTTGAAGTCTATCTTGTTAGATACAAGGATAGCTACCCCAGCTCTGTTCTTGGGTCCATTTGATTGGAGTATCTTATCCCAACCCTTTACTCTGAGGTAATGCCTGTCTTTGAATTGGAGGTGTGTTTCTTGTATGCAGCAGAAGGATGGATTCTTTCTTTGTATCCAATCTGTTAGCATGTGTCTTTTTATAGGCGAGTTAATACCATTAATATTGAGGGAAATTAAGTTTCATTCAGTGTTTATTCTTGCTTGTTTTTGGTTTGTTGTTGGTATGGGTATTGTATGTGGATTTACTCTGCCTTTTATTTTGTGTTCTTGTAAAGTGGGATTATCTATTGCCTATTATTTATGTGAGTGTAGTTAATTTCCTTAGGTTGGAGTTTTCCTTCCAGTACTTTCTGTAGGGCTGGATTAGTGGTTACATGTTGTTTAAATCTGGTATTGTCATGGAATATCTTGTTTTCTCCATTTATAGTGATTGAAAGCTTTGCTGGGTATAGTAGCCTGGGCTGGCATCCATGTTCTCTCAGAGTTGGTAGAATATCTATCCAGGTCCTTCTAGGATAGGTTTGCCTTTATATGTTACTTGGCCTTTTTCCCCTGCTGTTCTTAATATTTTTTCTTTATTCTGTATGTTTGGTGTTTTAATTATTATGTGATGAGGGGACTTTCTTTTGTCCCTTCTATTTTAACACTCTATTTGGTGTTCTGTAGCCTTCTTGTACTTTCATTGGCATGTCTTTCTTTAGGTTGGGAAAGTTTTCTTCTTTGATGTTGTTGAATATTTTTTCTGCACCTTTGAGTTGGGTTTCTTCACCTTCTTCTATACCTATTATCCTTAGGTTTGTTCTTTTCACAGTGTCCCAAATTTCCTGAATATTTTACATTATGGATTTGTTAGACTTCAGATTTTCTTTGCCTGACGAGTTTATTTCCTCTAGCTTGTCTTCAGAGTCTGAGATTCTGTCTTCCATCTCTTGTATTCTATTGGTTTTCTTGAATCTGTGGTTCCTGATTGTTTACTAAGCTTTTCCACTTCCACTCCAGCATTCCCTCAGTTTGTGTTTTCTTTATTGTCTCTAATTCAGTTTTCAGGTCCTGAACTGTTTCCTTCAGCTGTTTCATTGTATTTTCTTGGCTTTCCTTGATTTCTTGCATTCTTGCATGTTTTGGTTTGTCTTTTCTTCCATTTCTCTGAAGGATTTTCTGATTTCCTCTCTTAGATTCTCTATCATTTCCATGAAGTTGTTTTTAAGGTTGCTCTCTTCTGCTTCTTCTGTGTTGGAATGTTCATGTCTTGCTGGTGTAGAGTCCCTAGGCTCTGGTGGTGTCATATTGGTTTTCCTGTTATTGGATGTGTTCTTATATTTTCATCTTCCCATCTCTTGTTCCAGTGGGTACAGTTGGTGTCACTTCCTTTCCTGGTGTGTATGGGTCTGGTGTTCTCTTCAGGTGTGTGCAATTGATTTTGATACTCTGATGGGTTTCAAGTTGGATTCAGGCAGGTCTGAGACACTTGCTCTCCAAGTGGGTGAGAGCAGCACTGGTGCAGAGATGTCAGCAGACTCTGGGTTACTTGGTCCTTAGGGGTCGATTTGTCCCGTCGAAGATTCCTGGGGAGGGTTTGTCAGGTAAGGCAGATGGAAGTTGGGCCCAAGTTAGTGGCCTAATCAGCTCAACTCTGCACTCTCTGCACTCTTTGGGGGCCAGAATGGTCCATCGATCTCAGCAGAGACAGGATCCCAGGGTCCGCAGGGACTGATTCTGTCTGCCTGCAGATCCCGGGGTGGGATTTGCCAGGGCAGGCAGACAGAAGTTGGGCTCAAGTTAGGGGCCTAATCAGCTCACCTCTGGACTCTCTGCACTCTGTGGGGGCCAGCAGAGACAGGATCCCAGGGTCAGGGACCGATTCTCGATTATTTTTTCATTTCTTATTTTATGCCTTTTCTTCTCAAGTAAAATATACCTGAGACTAACTACCAACCATGATCTTGAAACAGGGGGACAGGTAGAAATTCACAAAAGTTTATTAATGCATGATAGAGTACGATAGACAGACTTAAACACCCTCCAAGAGTGAAGAACTATATTAGGTAGGGTTCTTTACAAGAACAGAACCGAGATAATTAAAAATGGCATTTATTAGTGTGGCTTGCAGGATATTATTTGGGTTTGTCTAACAATGGTTCTTTCTTGACAGAAAGGCCAATAATTCAGTAGTTGTTTAGGACATGAATGAGGTTGGATGTCTCAGAAGTCAACTTGGTGCTGGAATCCTATAGTATACCTGGAGATCTACAAGCTTTCTTTTTATGTTGGAATCCCAATGAAGTTTGTAATGACAGAATAGTTAAAATTTCCAGAGACAGTTATGGCAATCATGCAAAAAGTAGTTTTCTTCTTCCATGTCCTTAGGGTAAATCTTCCTATTTCAAATAATCACAGAGTGCCCAGCAATTTGTGTTTTTGTTGATTTTAGATATAGTCAAATTAACAACCAAGATTATCCATCAGAGGGACCATTGCAGAATGGGGGGCGTGTTAAGAGCCCAGAAGAAGAGGTGGGATTTTGTCTATCCCATTTCTATGAGGTTAAAACTGTCCTTCTTGGATGGAAGCTCATTATCTTATAGGCTTGTAAAAAGGACATGCAGCATCTGGATGTTAGAAAGAGAGGTAAAATATTCCATCTGCAGGGAAACACATTAAGATCATAAAGTTAACAACTTAAAATGGCTTGAGGAAGTCTCTGAAATGGACCAGTTTCACAAAGTTCCCTCATTACCAACCATATATACACTGTAATAACTGTGAAGAGATACTCTCATGCAGCCCAGCTGCCTAAGAGTGTCCTAGATAAGCTGATCTGTCTAGAAGCTTCTCAGGCCACCTAGATGACTGGAAGAAAGAAGCAGATCAGCCAAATTATCTGATAGAAATAGAAACTAGCTGAGCTGCTGGGAAGAGTTCAGACCATTGGAGTCATCTAGAAAGGACACTGTCCAATCAGTTGAGCTGACTGTCAATTATGCACTGTTCAGGTTTACCAGCTTCATGAACTGATACCCATTTTGTGTGGGCTTTTGTGATCTAGCTGTGTTTGTGTCATTTCTGCTCCACTAAGTAGCACTTCATCCATATGCCTAGTAATAATTCATAACTCCAATTATATTCACCATTTTACCAAGTTGGACTTTGGTGGTATCTATAGTTTAGCCTGTTATCCTTTCCCTATTTACACTGAATAAATACTTGTTCATGTCACCTCAGTAATAGTGTCATAAACCAAATCTTTTCCTAGAGCTCCTCTTTCTTTGGGCTGAAAGTTTCAGCTCAAAGCCACAATGTAGTTCTCTGATTCAGACTTGTTATACCTCACAGTTCACTGACATTGTCAGTAGATTTGGTAAGTTTATTGGGTATTCTTAAAGGAAGTGATTAGTTCAAAAACAGAGTTTTTTCCCCACACTAAACATGGAAAAACACTATTAAAATAGAGAAAATTAGATGTACATATGATTACATAATAGATGGCTTATAAATGGAACATGAAGGAATAATCTACTTAACCAGGTTTGATAGACTGTCAGTTGCTATTTTGATAATGTTTGTTGTCCATTCATGACTTACCTCTAAAAAAGTTGGTTGATACGAGTGCTAAGATGCAGACCTTAGAAAAACTTACTAGAACAGATCATAGAGATATTGAAATCCAGACTGATAAATTAAATGGAGAAAAATATTCAACTTGCATTTTCTTTGTAAAAAGGTTATCCCTGTAGATTAGATAGATTTGATTTAAGTTGTCCTGGAGTCTGGACTACAATTACAATGGACTTCCTGGTTCAGAGAGGAGGCTAAGAATATTCAACAAAAGTCCAAAACTAGAGGTATGGCTATCTCCCAAGATCAAATTCTTGGAGAAGGAGATTATGCTTCTTTAGAAAGGCAATGTCAATATGATTATCATCTCATGTGTTTATTCCATGCAGCATCTTTTAATGCTTGGTACAGAACTGGAGAAGCAGGAAAGAAAATTGTATCATTTACAAAAGTCATACAGGTCCCAAAGGAAGCATTTATTCATGGTCTTATTAAAAAGACTGTCATTAGCCATCAATAGAAAGATACCAGACTCAGATGCTAGAAAAATAATAATTAAAACTATGGCTTATGAAAATGCTAATGTCAAATTAGGATAACTAGGCCTTTAAAAGCAGAATCAGTACCTTTAGAGGATTGGATTTGAGCTACAATTAACATTGAAGCTCATGGCTATGGTGAAGATACATGGATAGGAGAGGTGATTTCAACAGTTTTAAAGAAAAATTGAAATGTCGAATGTTTTAATTGTGGCAGACAAGGACACCTGAAAAAGGACTATAAACAGGGCATTCCTAGAAACAATTATTTTTATAAATATAACCCAAACAGAATGCCCCTCCATTCTGGATTTGCAAAAGGTGTGGCAAAGATAGGCATTGAACAAGGAATGTAGGTAAGCGAGCATGGTAATCTTTTTTCACAATCAGGGAAACTCCTTGAGGGCACTCTCAAAGGCCCCTGTGCAAAAATGTAGGCCAAATTCCATTCTGTCTTTTCTTGTCACCATGGAAACAACAACCCAGAGTAATTAAAGAGCCTAATACCTATTGTAAGAAGAGCTATAAAAGATCACAAAAAGTTATAAAAGATCACAAAGCAAGTATATTGGCAAACTTATATAAATGAGCAGAGATCAAAATTCAAAGTACAAATACATTATGTTATTGTTGAAGGTTTAGTAGACACAGGTGCAGATGTAACAATTATTTCAAAAGAATCTTGGCATCCAAACTTGCCTCTCAATAGGTAAATGTTCAACTTTTAGGGACTGGAACTTTATCATAGGTAAAACAGAGCATAAGATGGCTCAAATGTATAAGGCCAGAAGGACAGAGAGAAATATTAAAGATGCTAATATTACAATGAATTTGTGGAGATGTGATTTATTACAGCAATGGAATCCTCAGATAAATATTCCCTCCAAATTAGAAACCAAACATATATTAACTTATCTGTCTGGAAAATTTCTAGGAAGTTATTATAAAGAACAATCATCAACTACGCAGGTAGTATAAGAACAGGACACAACAGCTGCTAATTTTCCAAAGACATCAGTAGCCCTACCTTTAAAATGGCTAACTTTTCTTTCTGAATCCTTAGGCAAGGTTTAATAAATCATAAACAATATCTCACTATGACAATGACAAAACTTATTTAACAGACATCAGTTTAATAAATAATGATGATGTAATAATAAATTATTAAATTCCAAAGTTAATAGGCATGCTCCTCTTAGGCTATGTCACTTCAAATGTAGTAGAATTCCATTAGATGACACTTGGTTCCATTGTGGGATAACTTATAGTTCTTATTGGTGCAGAGGTCTCATGTCTCAAATATCATTATGTATGTGCCTTTTTTCCTTGGAAAATGACAAATAAATATTCTCAATAAATATACCAAAATTCCACCCAAACCAAACTGATGGAAACCTGGCTATTCTGAAAGCACATTCATTGACTTGGTCTTTTTTGTAAACAGGAAGGTTTTTGAAGGGAAATTGCATTAGGGATATAAATTCTTACAGACTCGACATACCTTATATCAAAATCCACAAACCTGACCCAAGAGGAAGTCAGGAGAGTGAGTTGTCCTGAAGGTGTAACTTGTAAATCTTGTGTGATCTCTTTACTCTTCAGATAGGATTTTTTTCACAGGCTTTCTAGTAAGGTATGCTGAAGGTGTCATGACATACAGAAGTTTCAGGGGTTGTATGCTTTACAGAAAGCTGTCTTGTAGCTGAAGCTGTGAGAGGGCTTTTCAAATGCATTGAGCTTCGCAATGTGTTACAAAGGACTGAAACTGCTTTAGGTGACATTGAAGCCCCAGATATACTGTTTTGATACCTGTTACTCCTAGAACTTTCTATCTTGTGGTTGTAAGCTGCAAGAGCCTGTGACTCTTATTTAGTCTTTTCTCTAGTTCTTAGGAACTTCTCAGTCCAAGACAAGTGTGCTAGTTTGAATGAAAATCACCCCATAGACTCATAGGAACATGAATCATTGGGAGGTATGGTCTTGTTAGAATAGATATGGCATGGTTGGAGGAATATCACTGGGGGTGATATTTGAAGTCTTAGGAACTCAAGCCAAGCCTTGTGTGTCTCTTCTACATGCAGATCAAGATGGAGAACTCTCAGCTTCTCTCCAGCACCATGTCTGCTTGTGTGTCACCAGACCCACTGCTATACATTAGGTAGAGTTTGGGGAATCCTGCATAAGATGGGGAGAAAGGATTGTAGGAGCCAGAGTGATTAAGGATACCACAAGAAAACTCACAAAATCAAGCTTGACTCACAGTGTCTCCAGAGACTGAACTTACAACCAGAGAGCCTGTGTAGGTCTGACCTAGGTCCTCTGCACATATGTTACATTTATATAGCTTGGTCCTCTTGGGGGACTCCTAACAGTGGGAACAGGGGCTGTCTCTGGCTCTTTTACTGGTTTTGGGGACCCTACCCCTTATTCTGTGTCACCTTGCACAGCCTTAATACATGAGGGTTGTAAAGGAACACAGCCAAACACAGGATATATATATATATATATATATATGAACAACTCACATGAGAAGCCAATAACCAGATTGACACTCTGAGAAGTCCAGTCTCAGCTGCACTCGGAGATCCAACCAGAACCCTGTAAGAGACTTAGTGCCTCTTTCCCAGATCTTTTATCCCAAAGGGGCATGGTCAGTGCCACAGGTATGTAGGATTTCTCCCTACAGATGAGATGCTTAGTCTTACTGTAACTTAATATGGCATGTTTTGTTGACATACAAAGGAGACATTTTTTAAACAGTAATGGAAGAGAAGTTGGAAGACAGGCCTCAGAGTTTGAAGCTACCTGGACTACAGAATGAGTTTCAGGACAACCAACCTTGGCAGTGAAGGAAACCAATGAAAACAGAAGTCTGGTCAAGATATAATTAAATGAGGAGGCCATGTTCCAGCCCAGAAACCAGCAAATCCAGACAGCTTTAGCCACATGGTTCTGGCTTTAGAGTCAAGTGCACAAGACAGGGATTATAGGCCCATCATACACTGCCACAGCTAAGGAAAGCTAGTGACAGGCCATTGTGTGAAGCTGTGAAGGTGAAGCCTAGATTGCTTTGGCGACCCTAAAATGTTGGAGATGTCAGAGCCATAGGATACCTGCCAAGAAGATTTGCTAACACTGAGTTGAAACAGCCCAGTAGAAAGAAATGTGTTGCAGGCACCAAAGCTGAAAGGGATCTGAAGAGCGTTTTGACATCAGACATGGAGATGTAGAGATTGGACTTTGCTCCATTGGTTTTCAGTCTTGTTTTGGTCAGTATTTCTTCACTATGTTTGGTAGTCTGAAGAAAAATGACCCCATGCACTCATAAGGTCTGGCACTATTGGGAACTGTTGCCCTGTGGGATTAGGTGTGGGATTGTTGGAGGAAGTGTGTCACTGAGTGGGCTTTGAGGTTTTTTCACCACAATACATCCCTAAGACAGAAATGGTAGGTTGTATGTATAGGGCTGTTAGGCTTTGGAACTGGAAGATTGATGGCTAATTGTCATACTCCTAGCATTGTTGAGTCAGAAATTCCCCATTTATCTACATAAAAGAGTTTCCAAAGTGATTTAGCCCCTACTTGTCCATAATGCACCATGAATAACCATGTTCCTGGGATGTCTACCAAATAAAATACTCTAACACATAATCTGATCTTAGTGTCTGCTTTATAGGAATCCAAACTATATCAATTGTTTTACATACATTACTTCATTTCTTCCACCAGAAATTATAGAATGTATTAATAACACCTCCTTTCTTTTTTATGTATAGTTCTTCACAGGAAGGGGGAAAGAAAGGACTTTATGTTATAACAACCTTCTATATGATAATTTCAAATTATCTTACATCATCTTTCAACTAACTTATATATGTTTGGAGGAATATTATGAGTATTTTTACATTATAGATTAGGAAATTGAGATTAGAGTGTTAACTATCTTTATTGATATAATATAGAATATATATGAAATAAAGTTTTACTTGATTTTCAAATTTTGTTCTAAATGTTCTTATTTTCATTTAATTTTTTGAAGACGAAAAGAGGGAAGAGATAATGTCAATCTCCCTGTTGTGTTACACATTTTCCAAAGACTTGTATATCTTATCATCTGACTTCAAATGTTCACATTTCAACCCCTGCTTGTGGCCCCATCATCCTAAGTTAACAGGTTCCTGCTGAGCTATTTGAGGTCATCTTGTGGCACTTACTCCATGATTCACTCTCTTTAGTGAAATTGTCTATCTCAGTTTATGTGAATGCCTCTACTTCTTTCCACCACATTGTCTCTATCCTTGCTGTTTCCCCTGCCAGGACAACCTTTTCTTTTTATAATTCCACTTCACTAAAAATAAGACTTATTCAGAGGACAGTCCCTGAACATTCTATCTAGTCACCCATCTGTTTTTTTGTTTCCAAATTACTCCTTTGCCCCAAATACTTCCTATGTGTTCCAAATACTCCTCCATTCCTCCCTCCCTTCCTCCCTCCCTCCCTCCCTCCCTCCCTCCCTTCCTTCCTTCCTTCCTTCCTTGTTAGTATGTACAGTATGCTTATTTGTATAACACCAAGAGCATAAAGCTGATAGATAGCAAGGGCCTTGTTTGTTTCCCTTATTTATGTTAGTTTAGAACTGGCAACACCACATTTTGGAAAATGGGGTGTGTAAAATCGGACGTGTAAAAAAGTGAAATTGAGTCAGTGAAGAAGGAAAATTCTAGGAGTGCATCTAACAAGAACTCAAAATACATTTTGTATAACTCTAAGATTTATTTACAGAACTCACTGTTATAATCAGAATTAATATAATGTTAAAGCAAATGAATCTTGCTGACATCTTGGAATCTGTGTGAATGCATTAATAACAATCAGTTTAAGTGTGTGTTCACAGCATGTCATTCAGATGAGAAATGTTGGAAAGGGAAAAGGTAGACAGCTTTTTAACCTGTTTTTTATGGCACATTTAACTTCATTCCAGGAAGCTAGATTCTGAGCTTAATTAAAGATTGTTTGGAGTATAGACAAACATGAAGAAAATTGTAACAGTCACTTACATGTTAGACTCCACTTTAAAAAAAACTAAAGATGTTATAAAGATGCTTTCTGGCTTAATTCCTCTGAAATCTAGTTTTTTGTCCTTATTACCTTTTTAAAAAATTGATAGTTTTGCTGATTGATTTTTTTTAAAGAAATAGGATGTACTATTGTAGAAACCTTCTAACACACACACACACACACACACACACACACACACACACACACACACACACACACCTTTAGATGGAGTTAGCCTATAATGAGATGACAGTATCAGACTAGACATTATATACTAACAAATAAATCTAGATACCTCTTTGGAAGTGTCATCCTCATCATCCTAGTTACCTGGCTCCTTCTGAGCTATCTGAGATCATCTTGTGCCACTTACTCAATGATTCACTCCCTTTAGTCAAATTGTCTATCTCAATGTTATGTGAATGCCTCTAGTTCTTTCCACCACAATGTCTACATCCTTGCTGTTTCCTCTGCCAGGACAACATTTTCTTTTTATAATTCCATTTTACTAAAATTGAGACTAAACATTACAGACAACTGGAATTGTTTTTGGTTACACTCTAGGACTTGAAGATAAGACTATTGCTGAAGACACCACATGTTTGAGTCATAGAACATAGAGTGGCCTGAAATCTTCACTCCTGCAGGTTAACTTTTATCATGATGTAAGTGTTTAGGCCTGCTACTAGATTAAAAAGGATAATTATCATTTTTACCCAGCAGTGAATCTTTTAAACTAGAGTTACTGAACTGACAAGATATGCCCACAGGTATGCTAATGGTATAGATGTTATGGTAGTAACCAATTACTTTCTGATCTGATCTAAGATTCACTCCTACCCGCTATTATTGGTTAAAGTGTCAAGAACATGTGATTATGTAGGTCATGCACACTAGGGGACAACTTACTACTTATTCTATCAAATGGATATAGTATTAAACTGATTACTAATAACTCATTGCATTATCCAGTTGAGGATCTTTTGATTTATGGGTATAATAGAATGTTTGGGGCAATTTAATTGTTGTGCTCCTTTATCAGAACAGCAATATTTGATTTTCCCCAAGGGCCATGGCTTATGTAGTCTCAGATTCTTGGTCACCCAAGCAGTGTCAGACTTGGGTTTCATCTCCAGATTTGGCCCTTAAATTAAATTAGATAGTAATTGGTTACTCCCACAATGTATGTTTCACTATTCCTCCAGCTTACTATGCAGGTAGGTCACCACTGTCAATCATATGGTTTGTAGCTGGGTAGTGGTTACTTTTCTCCTCTGGTAGCATGCAGAGTAACTTTCAGTACCATGAACACGTCTCAGTAGAAGTAAAGGTCCTAGATAGGCACCTATTTGACTTCTCTGTGTTCAATGAGTTATGTAGGCATTATCTTTAGCCATAGGGCCTTGACATAAGTTTGTGGAGAGTAATCAATAGCCATGGTAAAACTCTGGGCTATTTAGGCATTTCCATGAGATTCCTTTGTCTGAAAATTCAATTATATGTAACCTACTTCTGGAACTGAAAGCTTCATTTGGTGGTGCAAAATATCTAGCTGGGCATTTCCCTCATTATGTGGGTATTCCTTATGGATTATCTAAAATATATAAAAATATATTATGTATAAATATATAAATAATATGTATGATACAAACATATGTATTTATATTACATATAAATATAAAAATTTATTAAAATCCAACATATATATATATATATATATATATAAAAATTAGATAAAAACATAAATATTGGACTATTCTTTTTTTAACTAGGCCTTCAGAATGTTGTTGACAACTGTATGCCTTGGGCAGCTTATGGGGCCACTGGCAGTGGGACCAGGATTTATCCCTAGTGTATGAATTGGCTTTCTGGAGCCCATTTCTTATGGAGGGATCCCATGCTCAGCCTAGATACAGGGGGAATGCCTTGGTCATGACTCAATGAGATATGACAGACTTTGTTGCCTCTCCATTGGAAGTCTTATGCTCTATGAGGAGTGGATGGGGTAGGGTGGGGCAATGTGGGAGGAGTGGGAGAATTGGAGAGAGGGAGAATTGGGATTGGTATGAAAATTAAAAATAATCATTCTAAAAGAAAGAAGGGAATTCTGTACATATGTTCAAAATGTTTTGATCAAAGGAACCCTTATTTCATCCCCAAATTTTCCCATCCCCCAATTTACATCTCAATTTGTATACTCTCTCTTAAAATAAAACTTAGTCCATTTAAAATACATAAATATATAAAAGTATATAATATACTACGTGTTCACATATAAGTGAATGCATATCTTGTTTGTCTTTTTGGATCCTGGTGACTTCACTCAAAATGATTTGTTTCCTGGCTCCATTAATGTATCTACAAATTTAATGATTTCTATTTTCTTTTTTTCTAAATAACTAG